TATTTTTCTCAATTTTACCAAGCATTAGTTTAATCTCTTGTATATTAAAAGGTTTTTCAAGATCATCATCAATAATTCGATTTATTGCATAGTCATGTACCATAGAATCAAGTGTAGGATTTAATAGTGCTTCGAAATATTCTTTAAAACAATAAGCATTTATATTACTTACAATACAATTGTTATTTTGCTTTAATTCTTTTGCTATCTGCCACCATTGTTTGCTGTCTGTAATATAGTTTAGTTTCAGTTCAAGTAAATCATAGTAATTTTGCTTCTTATTTCTACACAACTCTTTGAATAATTTTTTCTTCTCTAAGTATCCTTGTTTATCCTAATTTTTTTGAGTTTTTCGGAACTTATTTAAAGCATTAAAAGCTTTTTCTCTAGAAACTTTGCACTGAACATCGAACCACTTGCGCTTAAAATCTATTTTATTTCCTCTTGTTGTAGGTGATATATAGGAATCAACTATTACTTGACTAAGGTCTTGTAAATCAGCCTCCGGTTTACACAAACTCAAGTGATTCAGATTCTGGTTAACTCTGATACGGTAATTGTCTTTATTATTTTCATTCCACTTCCACTTCAGTTTAGGTATTCAAATTTTATTTTTTACGTCCCTTAATGAATTTTGTATGTTTATATTTAATTGTATTGGTTGGTGATCTGACCAAATTTGATACTCCACTGTAAATGATTTTATTGCTTTAAGGATATTTAGTGAAACGGCACATACATCGTTTACCGAGTTTCCAGAGCTACCAACAAACGTAAAGTAACCTTCTTCGTCTCCAATTGTCCTTCCGTTCATAATAATCAGGCCGTAGTTATTACAAAATTCCAAAATATTTTCTAAGTCTTGCTGTTCATTTCCTATTCTAGTATTAACGTCTCCCATAAGAATTGGATTAGGTATATCATTTTCATGAACTACGGTTTTTAAAGTTTCAAACTCATTTTTCCAATCAGCACCACGAATATAAATAGCAGGGATGGGGGTTAATGATTTCATTTTCTCAATTACAATTACTTGTAATTGTAATTGGCAGCACCTCAATTACAATTACTTGTAATTGTAATTGAAAAAAAAGTGTATGTAATTTAAAAAAAGTAACTAAATTACTTTATATACAATTATATTTTTAAAATGTTGTATAAAGTAAGTTGTTTTTTTAATAAATATTTAAAAAGAAAATACTATATACATATATTCAAAATTAACCTTTGGCAAAATTAAAATTTAATAATGAAAAAGGGAATACATTTTGTTAATTAACTAGTAATGTTAAATCCTAGATTTGGAACAGATGATTTAATATCAAAGACATAAACCCATATGTTTCTTTGTACTATTTTAGAGATTGGTGAGTATGTTATCGGCATATGTCCACCACTAAACAGCTGTAACATTTAAGTCCATATTATTATTTTTATACCCACCATCAAAAAAGATGGGGGGTATATTGATTTTGTCATTCCGTTTGTAACACATCGAAATATTGGTCAGAGACCCACAAAAGTATATATATTCTGGGTCCTCATTAAATTCTAAGACGATCTAGCCATGTCTGTCCGTCTGTCCGTCCGTCCGTCTGTCTGTCTGTCTGTCTGTCTGTCTGTCTGTTGAAAGCACGATAGAGTCCGAATGGAAAGAGCTAGAGGCTTGAAATTTCACATAAATATTTCTTATAGGTAAGGTTTGTTTGGTATTGAAAATGGGCAATATCGGTCCACGTTTTCGGATAGCCCCCATACAAGTGGCCCCTAGAAAAGCAGCTTTAACAGCCATAACTTGTTTAAAAATACGAATATAGCGATGAAATTCGACATAAGTAAGTTTCTTGTGATCCAAAATCACTGTGCAAAATTTTATGAGGATCGGTCCATAATTGACCCTACCCCCCATATAAGGTCCCCTTCAGAAAATGACTTTAACGCTCATTACTGGCTTAAAAATTCTAGTATATAGATGAAATTCGACATAAGTAATTTTCATACGAGTCAAAATCTATCTAAAAAATTTTATGTTGATCGGTCCATGATTGACCCTACCCCCCATATAAGGTCCCCTTCAGAAAATGACTGCAACGCTCATTAATGACTTAAAAATACGAGTGTAGCGATGAAATTCGACACAAATAAATTTTATACGAACCAAATTCTGTCTACCAAATTTTATGAGGATCGACCCATAATTGACCCTACCCCCCCATATAATGTCCCCTTCAGAAAATTACTTTAACGCTTATAACTGGCCTAAAAATACGAATATATAGATGAAATTAGACATAAGTAAGTTTCGTTCGAGTCAAACGAGGTTTGATGGTGGGTATATAAGATTCGGCATAGCCGAATATAACACTCTTACTTGTTTAAAATATTATTAATTAAAAGCATTTAATTGCATATAAATTAATTTCTTTTCAATTAAATATGGATTTTGTTTACAAAGTAGTTCATCTACAGATGTGTCATTAATAGATTTCATTTAATAGATGGGTTGCTGTTTAATGAAATGTTTGAAATTCAGGTACATATATTTAGTTTGTTCAAAAGATGTATTCTACTACTTATTTCTAAAAGACATACTGTAACATATGTTCAATTCACATCACATCAAGTTGTATATTGTACTTACTAATGTGTAGTAACAGTGATTGTGAACAGATCTTTGCAGCAAGTCATAAGTTTATGTTCTCAATGAAAAAAAAACAATCAAAACAAATATGTCAAAAGATAAAAAATCAAAAAATATTATACTAATTAAACATGCGAAATAAACCAAAATAATTTCTTTGAATTTTCAAGTCTTTTATTTTCTTTATTCCACATTTTAAACTAATAAAAAACAGTTTTTAATAAATTTTTTTTTTTTTTTGTTTTGGTAAACAGCTGTTTGTTTTTGATTTTAGTGTTACCACTTTATCGTTTTTATGCTAAAACCATTTGAATTTTTTGTTTATATGTTGAAATAAACAATTGGCAACACTAAACTTTCTTACAACATTCGAAAAACATATGAAAAATTATCGTAGCAGTAGTATAGAGCTTTTGCATAGAAAATACCAACAACATTGTTATGACTATTGTAGCAGCTGCTGACATACAACGCTACAACATCGATTGTGAATTGAACAATAGTAATATTTTTAAATCAACTTACAATGTGTGTCGGTCCGCAAAGAAAGACTAACAAGTAAGAGTGCTATAAACGGCTTTGCCGAATCTTATATACCAATATAGACCGATCCTAATAAAGTTTGACAGAAAGATTTTAGTTCCTATAAAACTAGTTCATGTCGAATTTCATTGCTATACTGGCATTCTTATGAGCGTTAAAGTGATTTTATGAGGAGTAACTTTTATGGGGGGTAGGGTCAACTATGGACTGATCCTCATAATTCGTGAATTTTACCAAATGTGACTGCACCAAAATATTGGTAGTTTAAGTTAAGTTTTGTATATGTATACATACATATGTACTAGCGTATTCAATTATTCGGGTTTTCCTCTTATTCGGTTTATTCGACAAATAATTATTTGAGGTTTTGTGTTAGCCGGTTAATAATAGGATAATTCAAAATTATTCAGTTAATCGAATAAAAGGAAACTGGATATTTTATTTATTAATTTTATTGTTTTTTTACAATATTTTCTCCCAATAACAAACAAAATTATAATTTTTCTCTTTCGAGTTAAATTCTTTCTCAATTTTTAATTTATTTTTTTTTTTTTTCAAACTTTAGAAAATATTTCTCTTCATGTAAAATCATTTTCCATAAAAAGAAATTAAGTTAATTAGTTTTATAATTTTTAGATTTTTCAACTATGTAGTTCCAAAAAATTGTTTCACATCTCATATATTCCAATGAACTAGTATATGAGCAATTATCAAAGTTTTTTAAAATTTAGCAAAATTTCATTTTTTTTATTTTTGTGGTTTTACAACGAAATATTTCAGAAATTCAACAATGTTTTCCAAAACTGATTGTAGACGTAAAGGCGATATGTATTTTCAAGATTGCTATTCATCTAAAGTATATGAGCCCATTATAGAAGTTGTTAAATCAGAACAAATTCTTAAAATATTTCTGAAGTATTATTATAAAAATCTTCCAATAAATTTTCGTCATTATTTAAAATCAATTTAAGATTAAATAAAATATTGAATTGATATTGAATTTTGTATGAAATATACATAAATTTAACAGTTCAATAGTAAGTTTTTATTAATCGGATAATTGATAGATATTATTCGGTTTATTTACTATTTGAAATATGGCAATTTTCATTTATTCGAACAGTTAATCGACAAAAATTGATCGTTCGAATACCCTAATATGTACCAATGTATAAAAATGTATTAATAATGTAAAATTTGTTCAGAGTTCTGATGACAGTGGAAGAAATGGAAATAAAATCTCGGCAAAATGTTTATTGTGCGTACAAAAGCCATTATAAAAGGATTATCAGGAGTAAATTCAAATTTTCTTACACACCTCAAAAGAAAACATCAACCAGAATACGTAAATTATGTGAAAAGAAGAAAATTAGAAAATGATGAAAAAAAGTTGAAACAAGACAATCGTTATTTCAAAAAGATATCTTCAACTTTATTGTGCAAACTACAACACCATTTTCAATCGTCGACAATGATTATTTTAAAAGGATATTTGAAAAACGAATAAATCTGAAAATTCCAAGCAGAAGACTTATTTCTGAGGAAGTTTCGAGGCAATTTTATTACGTTAAGTCGACAATCAAAAAGCTAATTAATGAAACCAGCTATTTTTGCACATTTGGTCAAATAAGCACAAATGTTACTTTGGCTATACTTGTCATTGGCTTAATAGAGATTTAAAAAAGAGTTTCTGTTGCATTGGCATGTAAACGTTTCACTGGCTCCCACACGTTCGATCGTATCGCTGAAATGATTATTGAAATACATGACGAATTTAATTTGAATCCAATTAATGTTGTTGCTACGGTAACGGATAATGGATCAAATTTCGTCAAAGCATTCAAAGAATAAGGAACCTGAAGAAATATTTAATTCAGATGATGATACCAGCGATATAGAGGACGAAAGTAATGAGGAAGAAATAACTTTTGCTAATTTGGATATAAATAGTACAGTAAACATCCCGAAACATTATCATTGTGGAAGTCATACAATAAGTTTAATAACAACAACTGATTTCAATAATGCTCTTAAATCGGATCGTGGGACGTATGTTATACATTCACAGGTAAATAACGATACAATTGAATTTTATAAACAATTTCTAATAACTGATTTGTTAAATATAATTTATTTGTTAAATTTAGGCTTTTTTAAAGTGCAATGCTCTTTGGAAGAAAGGAAATAGACCAAAATCGTCCGAAATCATTGTAGACATAATTGGTTCAACACTTAAAACTCCTTGTGTTACACGATGGAATTCATTGTATGATTCCACATTGCAGTTGTTAAACAATGAATCAAATCTAACCACTCTCTGAAGAATTGCAAATAACAAAATTTTCTGCTACAGAAATGGCATATCTTAAAGAGTACTGTGAAGTAATGAAGCAATTTGCTGAAATTTTAGATTTCCATCAGGGAGAGAATGAAATTTATTACGGAATGTTGATTCCGTCCCTGGTAACCCTGGTAAAAACGGATAAATTAATTAGTAAAAAACTGACATTTTTAGAAAATACCACAAAAATTATTCAAGCAAATCTTTTGAGTTGATTTGAAGAGCTTTTCTATTTAAAAGAAAATGCTTATCACGCCATAGTAGCTGCAATATCACATCCAAATATCGAGTTGAAATGGTTCAATGCCATATGCAGTATTTCCAACAAAACAATAGAAGATATGGAAACTATTTTTATAAGATATTGTAACAAGTTTTAAATGCACTTACCAAAACACAATGTGGAAGTAAATGTGTCTAAAAAACCCTCAATATTTGATTTTGGTGAAAACAATGAAGGTATTTAAAAACTTAGTGAATATCAAGTAACTATATTCAAACTGTTTATAGCTGTGTTCCAGAGAATTAATGAATTTTCTCTTGGTACTTGTAAAAAGCACGGGAAAAGAAAACCCTACATTTCTCTTTTGGGGCATTTCAAAAATTTTCGAACAGTAGCAAACAAATAAGGAATCGATTCACAAAGACAAAAATATGTGTAAATCGTTTATACATCTAAATTATTTTAAAATTTTACGTTATTTGCAAATTTATAAAAAACGAGAGTATTGAATATATTACTCAATGTATTTTAAAAATACTGTTGATTATTGTTAAAGTACTTTTAAAGCATATCATTTATTCAGATAAAATTCTATATATTTTTTGTAGATATCGGTGAATTTCTCTCCAGTGACACAAATAATAATGATAATATAAAACTCGAACTTCAACTACACTTGCGTGATACGGATTCTTCATTAAAAAGTCTTAGAAATAACCCAACAATACTAAGAATTTTTAAGAAGTCAAATACACCGTTGGCGTCATCTGGTCCAGTAGAGAGACTATTTTCATTTGCTGGTATTATATTAACACCAAATCGTCAAATATTATCTGACGTAAATTTCGAAAAATTGGTATTATTAAATAATAATTATTTATATTTTAACAAATTTGTATTAAGAAATTTTTGCGACATCCATTCCGATATTTATGTAACTTATAACACGTCATTTATTTAATTATGAAAGAAAAACTGTAATTGATTATTTTTGTTATTTTATAGTTTATTTGTAATAAATACTTTGAAAGTAATAATTATGACTTTTTATTTACATTACTATTACTTTTCCTAAATTACATGTAATTGTAATTGGCTTTTGCGCAATTAAAATTACAAGTAATTGTAATTGGTAATCTTTCAATTCCAATCACATGTAATTACTAATTACAATTAGTAATACTTTAATTACAATTACAACAAGTACTTGTAATTGATTATTTATCAATTACACATTAGAAGTAATTGTAATTGCTAAACAGCCAATTACAATTACATGTAATTTGTAATTGCAGCTGTAATCAATTACATGATGTAATCATTACCCCCCAAGCCTGATAAATAGGAATTAAAGTAAACTCAGTTGCCTTAGTTTTAATATCAACCGTATCGGCGCCTCCATATGAATTTATGCGTTACTCCAATATCCTTTAAGTTTTTACGGACTCCTGTTATGTAACCACCTATACCTCTTCCATGTGAACTATTGCGAGTTGCAGGTCTCCATTTCACGTTATAGTTTCTGAATCTGTATTCAAATTTAAAAATTTTGTTAAGTTCTATATGAGTCTCCACCAGAATGAATATATCTGCCTGTTCTGTGTATTCAAACAAGTAAGAAAGTATAGTCGGGCGTGGCCGACCATATGATACCCTACACCAGTTATGAATATTAAATGTGATTTATTTTTCATAATAAAGCATTTATCTTCAATATTCCCTTGTTCCGATACACCTAAGCAATTTATGGATGAAAAACTAATTTTCTGAAAGACGCTTTATATGGGGCCTAGGGGCAAATATGGACTACGCCCGACACAATTTTGTGAATATATTTATATTTACATAATATTTTATTGTGCTGAATTTCATCGCGATATTTGTGTTTATAAGCTAATTTGGGACATTCAAGTAATTTTCTGAAGGGGACTTTGTATGGGAGCTAGGGTCAAATGTGACCCGATCTTTATGAAATTTGGCATGGTCATCAAGACTTCTATAGAACTTAGTTGTGCCGTATTTTATCGATATATGTATCTGTATATTTAACATAATTATGAGCTCAGAAGCCCTTTTCGGGGGGTTCTGTTCTATGGGGGCTAGGTGAAATAATGGACCGATTTTAACCATTTTCAATAGGCTTGGGTCAAATAAAACGTGCGTGCCAAATTTCATCCAATTATCTTGAAAATTGCGACCTGTACCTTGCGCACAAGGTTTACATGGACAGCCAGCCAAGCAGCCAGACGGACGGACGGACATAGCTTAATCGACTCAGAAAACGATTCTAAGCCGATTGGTATACTTTAAGGTGGGTCTAGGACGAATATTTTTGTATGTTACAAACATCAGCACAAATCCAATATACCCTCCCCACTAAAGTGGTGTAGGGTATAAAAAGTCCATATTGTGAAATTTGTTTTCAAGGCCATGTATATTGTACGATATTATGTTAAGTTAACAATTATTATTTTCATTACAATTTTTCTTATTATCTAAACATAGATTTATGTTTTTACTTCCGGCTACAATTAGTTCTCTTGATTCAACAAAGTCTTATACTATAGCTTAAGTTTACAGAATTTATTTGATCTTTTCCATTTTTACTACCACTCATTAAAACATAATCTTTATTCCAATATTTATTTTCATTCATTATTTATTTTCATTCTATCATTTCTTATTTTTTTCAGATTTAGCATAACGTTTTTATTTTGTAATTTTTCTTCAGCAAGATCCCTATCAACATAAATAGCTGTTCTGCTAAGTTTTTTGCGTTCTTAATTACTTGTTCTGCCATTTCTTCTGTTTTAACAATTATTATTTTCATTACAATTTTTCTTATTATCTAAACATATATTTACGTTTTTACTTCCGGCTACAATTAGTTTTTTTGATTCAACAAAGTCTTATACTATAGCTTAAGTTTACAGAATTTATTTGATCTTTTCCATTTTTACTACCACTCATTTAAACATAATCTTTATTCCAATAGAGCCATTCATTATTTATTTTCATTCTATCATTTCTTACTTTTTTTCAGATTTAGCATAACGTTTTTATTTTGTAATTTTTCTTCAGCAAGATCCATATCAACATAAATAGCTGTTCTGCCAAGTTTTTTGCGTTCTTAAATACTTGTTCTGCCATTTCTTCTGTTTTAAATTCCGCTACAGCACATACCTTATCTTCTGTTTCAAAAAGCTTTCTAACGTATTTTACCTCTATATCCAAAATTTGCATCTTTTGCTTACAAACTTTCTGAATATTTGTTTTCAATGGTCCATTTTTGTCGACTCCACGAAAAATTACATTTTTTCTTTTATTTTTTTCAACCAGACGCATTAATTCCAGGTGGCCTTTCTTTCTTTCTTTCAGCTTTCAATATGTTTACTTCTTCTTTTAGAGCTTCATTTTGCATCTTAAGAAATCCTATTTGTGTACAGCATTCTTACATAGATTTATTTATCACTACTATATCATCTTTTGTTGATAGATTTTTAAGTTTTTCGTCTAATATAGTTTGGATTGATCCCTGAATTATATTAACAACATCTGATAACTGCATACTACTCGGTAACAGCCTATTTTCTTCATTGGACATCGCATCTGGTGATATTATATCCGTATGCTTTCTTTTGATTTGTGGTGTAGATTTTGGTGTTGCCAATTTTCCTTCCTTTGCTATAGTACTTTGCATCCTAAAAGTATGCACCATTTTCACATCAACGTTTTTTAAATTAAGAGTTTGTTTAAATTAAATTTGGGTTTCTTATAGTAGAGCTTATGTTCCACAAAAAAGCTTTTGAGCTTTAAGTTGCTTACTGCTATATGTAGCTTAATTTATGTATGTTTATTAGTTACATATTACACCATAGCCGGCAACATTTCGAAAACAAATGATCTTCGTTAAAGTTATTATTTTTGTCTTTACTTTGTAGTTTTCTTATTAAAAATTATTCATTTCACTTTCGATTTATTACGAAATACAGCAGCTTTGCAACAAATGATGATTTTAGGCACAATTCCTGCACGATATTTATTTATAATTTTCAAGTGTAACGACTTTTAATGTGGGATTTATTTAACAAAATCAATAACAACACGAAGTAATTTATAATCGCGTTTTTACACTTTCACCAGGGTTGGAAAATATATAACAAATTGTGAAAAACAAAGCGTAATATAATTAAAATTATTTCTGAAATTTAATGAGGTTTAATTAAATATAAATTTGGTGAGTTGTAGATATGAAATATGAAAATTTAAATTAGATACTAATTATTGTAAATATAATACATACATACAGTAGGTCTACTATTGCATAAAAGAAGTTTGTCTACGATTGGAGATGTAAATAAGAATTTTTATACTCTACACCACTTCAGTGGGGAGGGTATATTGGGTGTGTGCTGATGTTTGTAACGCACAATAATGTTGGTCCTATACCCACCTTAAAGTGTACCAATCGGCTCACAATCATTTTCTGAGTCGATTTAGCCATGTCCGTCCGTCCATGTAAACCTTGTAATCAAACTACAGGTCGCAATTTTGAAGATAATTCAATGAAATTTGGTACATGATTTTCTATTGTCTCAGGGACAAGCCTATTGAAAATGGTTAACATCGGTCCATTATTTCACCTAGCCCCCATACAACTGAACCCCCGAATAGGGCTTTTAAACTTTGTAATCAAACTACAGGTCGCAATTTTGGAGATAATTCAATGAAATTTGGCACATGATCTTCTATAGTACCGTAAACAAAG